CTCTAATACTCTTTATCTCGTTGTTATATAACTTCTCTTACTTGGTTACATGCCCCTCTCAACTTTTGTTTTTTGAGATTTTTTCCTAATTTTCTTTCAAAAAACAACAATAAGAACAACATAAAATATTTAACATTTTATTACAACATTTAAATATTTAAACAAGAATGTTTTGTGTCAAAGGCAGCAGACAGGGAAATAACAAATTCCTTTCAAAAGATTTCAGACACTAGTAAATATGTTGATTGGAAATATATTAGGGCTGTCAAGCGATTACATTTTTTAATGATGTGTCAATTCATTAATCTAATTAAACACAATTTAATTGCACCAGATTTGGCTGAGAAATTTCTCACAAGAGATCATTTAAAGTCATTATTGTGTTTAATGAGAAAAGCATCAAATAGACATTACAATAAGTATAGCTTTAGAAATAAATATTTGATTCAACATACAATTTATTACACATAAACTTTTAGGCTACAACGGCCATGATTTTCTTTCAGAAGCTGCATCTGAATTGGTATTTAGATATATTTACAGACCAAAACAGTGTGGTTACCATCATTCTTCAAAATATCTTCTTTTATGTTCCGCAAAAGAAAGAAAGTCATACAAGTTTGAAACTACACAAGAGTGAATAAATGTAAATAAACTGAATTTTCATTTTCAGCAAACTATTTTTTTAATGAAGTGATACTCTAAATAAACTGCCAATAGATTTTGGTAAATATCTAAATGAGTAAGTCATTCGTTCATTCGATTCGTTCAAACTGATGATTCATTCATGAATGAAGTAAATGGTTCTCTTTATGAATGGGCCATTGAATCATGGGTTCACCCGATTGATTTGCTCAAAACATTTAGAATGTTTGATTCATGATTCATTTAGAAACGAAACATCGCTGTGTTGCTCAGCAACATGACATCATGACTTTTGCGTAAAAATAAACGCCACTTTCAAGTCAAGTGGCGTGTTATCTATACGCATTTTGAGCTGTCCGCGTGAACCATCATCTTTTGCGTGTATGTCTATGCCGTTAAATGTCCGAGTGATTCCGCATGTATGTACACGCCGTTAAATGTCCGAGCGAAACGAAGCAAAATGTAGATCTACATCTGGGGAGCGATTATTTTTTTTCCTAGGATGGTAGGGGAAGACTAATAAATGGTATTAACCCCAGTGACGGGTAGGTTTAGGGACGGGGTTGGGGTAGGTCATATATTTATATATACAGTAATGTACGTTAAGTCAACGGCGTTGATAAACACGCTGAAAAGCGATTATGCGTGTTGATAGCACACCAAAAATTTCATGAGATCAGTCTGTGCTCAGAGACGCACAACAGTTCTGCTCTGGCTTTACAGGTAATCTTTTTGTTGGCAAAATGTAGCAAAAATAGACGTGTACACAATATTAACTTCTAATTTATTGAGTTTGTATAAAATCAATATCATATTTGCACATGCTATTCTGGTCGAAAACAGTACTCGTGTGATATTGCGCTCATTACTTGTGATATTGCTTAACTATATCATATAATATTATTATGAGACAAAGACTCATACAGGGGCATTTTTGCCCTGATATCTTGAATTTTAGGGGCATTGTAACTGCATCCTATAGGCTCCATTACACAGTGAGTTGTTGCCCTCCTTCATGCTCATCTCTCACAGATATTCAGTTGTTTTTTTATTATCCTAGTTTCGTTTTCAGGGACTTTTAGTTTGTATGTATTAGTTTCCTGGTCTCCTTTGTCTAGTTTCCTGCCACTTCTTGGTTGTCGTAGAGATTCATTTATTCAGCACAGGTGTTCATCATTATTTCCGTCATTTGCTTTGTATTTAAGGGCGCTTTTACCATTACCAGTACCAGCTCGACTCGACTCGACTCGACTCGCCTTGGCTCGCCTCGACTCGGCTCGCTTTTCGCTCCGTTTTCCATTGCAGAAATGACCGCCACAAATAGTACCCAGTCGTCATAGCGACGCCTTTCGTTCCTCGTTGCCCCATCAAGCTCTCGCTGGATCCTCTCTTCGGCAACTAAACCAAGGAATGTCTGCACCTCCTCGTTTGACCACGGCGTATTCTTCCGAGTTGCCATAATAATAGTAGTAAGTTTAGTAACTATCTCTGGCCAAACTATTTAAAAATGGCGGGGTTATTCTGGATACTCCATCTGGCGCGTGCAATGATGACGCAGTGAATAGTGACGATTCTCTCTGAACAATCAGCAGTCGGCATTGTTTTCACGTCACATTTTAGTATCGCCTTAGCTCGCCTCAGCTCGCTTAGAACCTCGCCGGAGGTGGTACGAAAAAAAGTACCCGAAAGCAGGTACAGGTACAACTTTTACACAGTGGAAAACCAAACAAAGGCGAGTCGAGTCGAGTCGAGCCGAGGCGAGGCGAGCTGGTACTGTGTAGTGGAAAAGCGCCATAAGTTGCAGTCTTTTCAGTGTTCATTTGCCCGGTCACATTAACGTGTAGAGGTTATTTTAGTGTGCCTGCCTTGTTTTGTGGATTCTAGTGTGGATTATTAAAGCCTTTGTGAACCTGACCTTCATCTGCCTGTTCTTCCTGACACCCCCTGTGATAGATGACCGGATCTACAATGGATATAGCAGCGCAGTTTGTCACTCTGGCCCGGAGTGGCTAGAACACTATGGATTTTGCACTGCAGTTTTGCCGTCTCGCTATTAGATCTCAATACAATGACGAGATAATCAAATCTTTGTATTGAATCGGGTTTACCTACTACCATCAAGTAGAACTCCCAGACACCCAAGGACTTGACTGAGGGAGGCGATATTTCAATGTCTGGAGAGTGTCTACCCCTGATCCATGACACAGCCAGACCCAGAGCCCAGCACACCACTACCCTTGACTGCGGTGATTTAGACAGAGTCCCCGGGAGACAGGAGGCTTCTGCTTGAGCCAGAACCCAAGGAAGAGAGGACAGCGCCGACCATCTCCCCAGATCAGTCTGACCAGGGCTGTGAGCCAGTGACAGTACTGGTGATCTTGGATACAGAGGACTGGCTGATAGATTTAAATTCAGAGGTACTACTTCCCACCCTACCCCACCCTGAACCATCTGTACCTTCATCTTCTGGCGCTGCCCAGCACTAAGACTAATACAGTGCCCTGTATTGAGTCTGTTTCATCATCCTGTATTAACTCAGAATTATCATCACTGATCCTGCCTAGCCCCACTCTCCCGCCTCCACTACTAAGCTATGCCAGTCCTTCAGTCCCTCCTCAGCTTGTTCCCATAAGCCCCATCGACTTCCCCTCTAACGCCATGCTGCATAGAAAAGCCTCAGGTCTTACCATCACAAGCTTCGCTTGGGCTAGTGGATCCTCTGGCTCTGCCTCAGGTCGCTGATCCCATCGCTTCACCTCGACCTGTCGGCTTCGCCTTGGCTACTCCCACCCTCGGCTCCACCAGAGACCCTTGGCCTTGTGGCTCCATCAGGCTCCCTCGTTCCTCCGGCTCCACCTTGGTCAGCAGTCACCCTGTCTGCGCCAAGGACTTGCGAGCCATCCACTGCGCTCCATCTCTCCACCCCTTTGGCTCCAGTAGGCTCCACCCTCCAGCAGGCTCCACCTTGGTCCTCGGTCGCACCGGCTCCGCCTCAGTCTTTGGACGTTCGTCGCAGTGCCTCCCCATTGGTCACCAGTGCCAGCGGTGTCGCTTAGTCCCATCGGGTCTCCGTCTGCGCCTTGGGCTCCCCTAACAATGGTTCCGTCTCCGTTGGTCGTCCTCCGGATGTTGTCAGCTACTTCACCATCATGGTTCCTCCCTCCATCGACTCCGCCGTGGGCTATCATCATGGCTGAGCTCTGGGTCCACACCACCTGGCCACTCCGTCCATCATCTCTACCCTGGCTGCTTCTTTCTTCCTTCCAATCCTCCTTGGTCTCGTCTGCCTCCTCTCACCATCCCTTCGTCCTCCTCCTAAGCCGCCTCCTTATCCACAACACAGAGCGAGGTCCCGCCTTCCGGGAGGCGGGTGACATACTGTCACAGATATTCAGTTGCTTTTTATCCTAGTATCCTAGTCATTAGTTTCCTGATTTCCTTTGTCTAGTTTCCCACCACTTATTTGTAGTCTTGGAGATTAATTTATTCAGCACAGGTGTTCGTCATTATTTACCTCATTTGCTTTGTATTTAAGTTGCAGTCTGTTCGGTGTTAATTTGTCCAGTCACATTAACGTGTAGAGGTTGTGTTAGTTTTCTTGTCTTGTTTTGTATATTCTAGTGTGGATTATGATAACATAATTATGAGACTTTTGAGACTCACCCAGGCCAGGCCACATTGTAGTTTTAGTTTTGTAGTTAACAAACCTTCTCTTCATTTATTTCAGCTGCCTTGTAATTGTTAGTGGTGGGCAGATCGAGGCTTCGTGGAACACTAAAACAGTTGAAGCAAATTTGACATATTGTGTCGAGGCTTCGAAACAATCCGACACCCGTCTCCAGGGTTACCCCTAGTGGTCAGAACAGTGTAAATGCAACAAAAACCCGGGCCAAACATGCATAAAAACACCTTTTACAAATCTATTGCACATTTTTTTAAACTATTGAAAGTAAAATCTTTCAAATGCATTTATCTAATCATCTAATACAATTATCAAGTGTATACATTTAATTTTATCAATTGTCAGGGTTTGTTTTGTTTGTTTTATGAATGGCTCAGCTAAACAGGCCAATAAGACTAACTACCATTATTCATTTTAATTATACTAACGTCTACTTAAAACGTCTACAAATGTATAAAACTGATCAGAGATCAGGTAAAACCCACAGACACTTGTTCATTGGTTCTCAGTGACTCCTCATGATTCATGGGTTGACAGAGATCATCGCCCCCCGCGGTGAACCATTGAAATTTTTAAGTGTTTCGAAACAGTTAAGAAGTAATGAAGCCTCGTTTACTGAAATCATGTGATTCTGGCTTTTTTATTTAGTTCCTTTTCTTTTTTATTTCAACAGAGGCAAGGATCCGGAGCAGCTGGTGGCAACAGCAAAACCTCTGGGGCACAAGGTACTGTGAACATATTCCACACGAAACCAAACACATCATAGATCTTTAATCACTTTTTGGCACCTTCTACAGTGAATACAAACAGTATGTCCAAGGAATCCTTTGTCTTGGAAGAGAAGAGATTCATCATGTTGTTGAGTTTGCCCCAAACAACCTTTAAGCATACAGAAAAGCCCAGCATCCCATCTGAAATCTTCAGGCATAAGCATTCTAAAGTATTCCCTGGCAAACAATAATGTTCTGCGCTCTGCTCAGTGAAGGAAAAAAGAGTCTGGTAAGCATTTAAAAATGTGTGCCTGTGTATGAAAAAAAGGTTGAAGAAGGAGGCAAAAAAAGAAAAGCATTGAAGCAATGAACACAGTCCCCAGTGTTTTAGCTGCACGCTCTTATGAAAAGGGCAACTAAATGAATCTGAACCAACAAATTGGCCCATACGTCTTAAATCAGACTTAAAAGACTTGAGGGTTTTTCTGTTGTTGGTTTTCTACCTGATGAAGAAATGCTCTTGAGGACGCTGAAGCCCCGGGGAGAGCTGGGTACAGAGCTTATTGGGCAAGGCATAAGAACTGCATCTCAAAGGAAGCTGGTTTCACTGAAGCTTGAATCTTCACGGAATTGCACGGTCTTATTTGCAGATGATGCTTTAGACATGAGAACATAATAGTGTAATGCTAGCACCAACTCTCTTACTCTAGTATCACAAATGATTTTTATACTACATATAGTACAAATTATAGTAAATTCAAAACCTTCCGCTAAATCCAAATACCATTCAGTGACCACAAAATGAATTTGGATACTTAAGCCACATAGAAATATCTAAATTTCAATGCATCAGACACAAAAGATAAAATCAAGCAAACAAATGATGCAAAAAAAATTCTCAACAACTAAACCCCTCTCAAATTCGCTATATTATTAAATACATTTACGATGCGTTAATGTTGATATGGTATTGGCGTAATAGATCTGTAATAGTACAGGACCTGCTACTGCCAATACACACACAACACTCTCCCACGTAGCAAATTTTATCTGGCCCAGCTCCGTTCCACAGAACCCCATTTCCCTCGGCCCACATACCGCAAAGAATGATGGCCCTGTAGTGGCTCAGATCCGGACTGAAGACATGGACCACACATGGGCCAACACTAGCCCAAGTCTCAGCCATTTAATAACCATTACAGGGCCTGAACTGGGCCAGAACTGGTTTTAATAGTGGCACCGATTCTCAGCTATTAATAAAGCATATCAACACCAGCTTTTAACCAGACCCTCATCCATTTAATAACCCACAACTAGCCCTGCCCTGAGACAGAATAGGTTTTATTCTTGGTATCGATTATCAGCCTTAAGTAAACCAAAACAGAGCCACACCTGGGCCTTATCTAGCCCAGTCCCAAAACAGAATTGTTATCTTTTATACATTGGATACTACTTTATATTTTTTTTACAGTACTTGCCATTATTTGTTTTGTTCAATATTTTGGTAATATTGTATGTTGTAAACACAATCATTTCAATAAACTACATTAAATTGAATCAAAACACACACACACACACACACACAATCTATAAAACAAATACCAGACAGACAGAGTAATCACAATAAAAAAAAATCTTTGCAGAAAATGTCAAAAAGCAGTAGCAAAGTAGTCCAAATGATGGCGTGTAGCATCCGATTTCCTCTCTGGTGGTATACAGTAGTTTTGTTAAATCCATTCTTTGAAGGCATTTCTCATTCAAACGCACCTTTCCTGAAACACAGCATCAATGAGCATTTGATATCACTGTTGTAAAACTTGTCATAAAGCTTCTTGGGGTTTTCATTGCTGAAAATTCCTCCCCTCAAATAAATCAGGACAGAAGTGGTTGAAAGTGAACAAAAGAGACAAGGTGTAAACGGAAATGTAAACGGTCTCCTTCATCTACTTGTGATCCGATCAACTAAAACACATCTTAATACCAGGTGGAAACAGGGCCTGAGAGTTCAACAGCAAGCAGTACCATGATTTTTTTTTGTGTGTGTGTGCAATTATAAAGTCTGAATTGTGAGATATCATTTCTGATATAAACATTGATTTGTGTAAACAGAGAAAGGAACATGGTGAGAAAACCACTCATGTATTGACTGAAACATGAGGCCTGCTCTCTCTAGAGGTATATTTAAAGGATCTTGCTGTGCTTAACGTGTATGTCAAGGTTTTCCTCCTCCCTTGCTTGAATTGCTATTGAATTTGCCTACAGTCTAATGCGCTGTTTCATCTCAAAGGTATTCACTACTGAGCCTTAATTTCTTACCAATACAAAAAATAAACCTTCACATCTCGTACTTTCATGAATAGGGCTTGGAAGTCTTTTAAAATCATGCTGTACAAAAAATGTTTTTATTTTTTTAAAGCATTTAAAAAGTATTTTTAATGCATTTACTTTATATGAGGTTCACCGTTTTCAAAAACCAACATCCAGAGTTTAATCCTTATCTTGAATTGCCTACACTTTAAACCCCTAATTTATGTTCTAGATAACAATAAATAAACATTAAATAAATAAAAAATCCAATTAAATTAATATATTATCGAAATCCTAGAGTACAAAAAAAAATGGTTTCAATAAAAACGATACCAATATACCTTAAATTAGGCAACCAGTCAGTACTAGTAGTTTGGCACCAAATATTGGTAAACATTTTTTGCATACCGTAGTTATCCCTCTAAATCAATGAGCTGATTTACTGTAATGAAGTAATGTTACACCAATCTGTAACAGAATGTGCCATCTAACACCTGAGTGAAGATGACATTTTTATAATTTGCTTATTTCTTTTTCGCCTTTGTCTGATAATGATGATAATGAGGAAACCCATTGCCTCTAGGTGATGACAATAAAACATTATCTGATCAATGAATTTTCAGTGAATATAAAATGAAAATGAACATAAAATACTACTATAGCATCTGTCCTGAATATTCATTATTGTGCTTTTGGCAGAAGGAGGGACTTTGGTGTGAATCATGAGCGCAGCTGGAAACAAGAACTGGACTGGAAACGTACATGAGTGTCTCCAGTGAATTTTATTTTGATGGCTTCTGTACACCATGTGCATTTAGCTTGCAGGGAGTTTTAGACAGGATGTGGTTTGTTCCAAAAGCCCAGCAGCACTGACTGTACAGTTGACTGACTGACATTGCAATCAGTGTGGCTGTGTGACATTTCTTTCTTGATGCATTATTGCTAATATCAAAAAGTTATAATGACTATGAAAATACATTTTTACACAAAACTGAGTTAAATGTCCCGCAAACCCTACATAGGGATAAGTGGTTTAAAGAATGGGTGGATCGGTGGGTGGACGGGTAAAGTGAGTGAGTGGGTGGGTGTTTGGGTGTATGGATGGATGGATGAATGGGTGGGTGTATGGATTTGTGGGTGGATGGATGGGTGGGTTGGTGTTTGGGTGGGTGGATGGATGGGTTAGTTTTTGGATGGATGGATGGATGGTTGGTTGGTTGGGTGGGTGGGTTTTTGGGTGTATGGGTGTTTGGGTGGATGGATGGATCCATGCGTGCATGCATGGGTGGATGGATGGATGCATGCGTGGGTGGATGGATGGATGGATAGATGGATAGATAGATGGATGGATGGGCGGATGGGCGGGCGGATGGATGGACGGGCGGATTGGGTGGATGGACGGATGAATGTGTGGGTGGGTGGATGGATGGATGGATGGGTGGATTCGGATGGGTGGATTGGGTGGGTGGATTCGGGTGGGCGGATGGGTGGATTGGGGACTGGGTGTGGGGATTGGGTGAGCGGGTGGATTGGGGATTGGGTTGCGGATGGGTGGATTGGCTGGGCGGATGGGTGGATTGGGTGGGCGGATGGGTGAATTGGGGATTGGGTGGGCGTATGGGTTGGATGGGTGGATTGGGTGGGCGGATGGGTGGATTGCGGATGGATGGATGGATGGATGGATGGATGGATGGTTGGTGGGTGGGTGGATGGGTGGGTGGACAAATGCAAAATATTTGTTTTGCATATTTATAAGATGGACCATTATTCCATGAATAAAGTACTACACAGTTGTAATACTTTTTTTTTATTTTTATAAATGTTATCAAAGCTTAAGCTAACAGTCTTGGATATTTTTGTCTTTTTATATTTTTGGTGGGTGTTTGGGTGGATGGATTAATGTATGGGTGGGTGGCTGGATGGATGGTTGGGGGAATGGGTGGATTGATGAGTGATTAGATGAATGTATGTATGGGTGGATGGACGGATGAATGGATGGGTGGACGTATGGATGGGTGGGCAGATGGATGGGTGGATGGATGAATATATGGGTGGATGGGTTGGTGGTTGGATGAATGGATGGATGGGTGGATGGATGGGTTGGTGGTTGGATGAATGGATGGGTTGGTGGTTGGATGAATGGATGGGTGGATGGATGGATGGATGGGTTGGTGGTTGGATGAATGGATTGGTGGATGGATGGGTTGGTGGTTGGATGAATGGATGGGTGGATGGGTTGGTGCTTGGATGAATGGATTGGTGGATGGATGGGTTGGTGGTTGAATGTATGGATGGGTGGATGTATTGATGGGTGGGCAGATGGATAGGTGGATGTATGGGTAGATGGTTGGATGAATGGATGGGTGGATGGATAGGTTGGTGGTTGGATGAATGGATGGGTGGATGGGTTGGTGGTTGGATGAATGGATGGGTGGATGGATGGGTTGGTGGTTGAATGTAAGGATGGGTGGATTTATTGATGGGTGGGCAGATGGATAGGTGGATGTATGGGTAGATGGTTGGATGAATGGATGGGTGGATGGATGGGTTGGTGGTTGGATGAATGGATGGGTGGATGGATGGATGGGTTGGTGGTTGGATGAATGGATGGGTGGATGGATGGATGGGTTGGTGGTTGGATGAATGGATTGGTGGATGGATGGGTTGGTGGTTGGATGAATGGATGGGTGGATGGGTTGGTGCTTGGATGAATGGATTGGTGGATGGATGGGTTGGTGGTTGAATGTATGGATGGGTGGATGTATTGATGGGTGGGCAGATGGATAGGTGGATGTATGGGTAGATGGTTGGATGAATGGATGGGTGGACGGATGGGTTGGTGGTTGGATGAATGGATGGGTGGATGGATGGATGGGTTGGTGGTTGGATGAATGGATGGGTGGATGGATGGATGGGTTGGTGGTTGGATGAATGGATTGGTGGATGGATGGGTTGGTGGTTTGATGAATGGATGGGTGGATGGGTTGGTGCTTGGATGAATGGATTGGTGGATGGATGGGTTGGTGGTTGAATGTATGGATGGGTGGATGTATAGATGGGTGGGCAGATGGATAGGTGGATGTATGGGTAGATGGTTGGATGAATGGATGGGTAGATGGTTGGATGAATGGATGGGTAGATGGTTGGATGAATGGATGGGTGGATGGATGGGTTGGTGGTTGGATGAATGGATGGGTGGGTGGATGAATGCAAACTATTTGTTTAGCATATTTATAAGATGGACCATTATTCCATGATAAAAGTACTACACAGTTGTCATACTTTTGTTTGTTTGAAATATGTTATCAAAGCTTAAGCTAACAGCCAACATTTTTGGACATTTTTGTCTTTCTCCATTCAGGTAAATAGGAGCTGTATTGCATAGAAAGTGTTCTTTTTGCCAGTTGACATTGTGTGTGTAATTTGTCTTATCCTTAGCTCTTAGTCAGATCATTTTCACCAATACAGTACATGCACACAGCATTTACATACAAAATGAATTCTAACCCTATTGTTTGACAGCTCGTTTTCCATCACCTGCATCATTGTGTTGGATTATATTTAGAAGTTGACATTATGTCATTATTAAAGTGCTCTTATTTGTCTATGCCCAGATGAATCTAAGAAAGACGTCCCAGAGGATTTTGACATCGACATGGAAGCCCCTGAAACCGAGAAGGCAGCCGTCGCTATTCAATCGCAGTTCAGGAAGTTCCAGAAGAAAAAAACTGATGACAAGTCATAGTTGCCAGCGGACATCTCTCTCCGTATGGCCTCATCAGGACAGCATGGTTTGATGTTGCATGTAATAGAATCCATTCTATATGGACTCAATGGAGGGGGAGGGGAAATCAAGGTCGTAATCTGTCAATCACTGATCTAACCTGTTATTTTACTGCTGTAACTGTGAATTCCATAGTTTATATCATTTTGGTTCCAGCTTTATTCTCCATTCTGGCCAAGAATATATGTCTTACTACTGTACTGATGCATGATTTTCTATTGTAACTGTCCATTATTTGTGAAAGCATAATATGTTTTCATTGTGAGCTGCTTACAAAATTAGTCAGAAACTATTTATTGAATACTGAGCATTATGTGTACATAAATATAGAGCAGAACTTTATTTTTGTTTCACACCATTAGTCTTCATCTGATGAATGCTTTAGCATACATTCACATCCCAGCGGAGTTTTAAAAATAGCTTGTCTTTTGAAAGCCATATTGTTGAATAATTCCCAGCTTATCTTACCGAATCCTCACTGTGTGCTCAGTTCTCTTTATTGATTCATTTCTGTGTTGAATTCCATGCTGGATAAAAAAAATGACTTGAGAGCGAGTGTTTGATTGTCTATTTTGCTGCGGCATATCATAACATTTCTGTTCATTTTCTTCCTTTGCACAGACATTAGCCAAACCAAACACTCATGCATTTCTATCTCACCTCAACTCTTATCTCAACTCGGTCTGAATGAAACAAGAAACTATTAATAAACATCCTTGAGTCTCTGGAACTAAATACTGTATTGTCTTTTAATTAAACTCAACCTTAAAGCAGGATGCTTATTTAGAAAAAAATAATTGCCCTCATGTTAAATTGATGACAAAAGAAAATATTAAGAAGACATTTTTGACATTTGACACAGCATAATGTTACACAGATTGACCAACTGGCATGTACTCTACTATACATCAACTTCTGGACATCTGGAGAACTGCACTTTTAAGGTTTTCTCGCTGCATAAAACACTTTCTCATTTTCATCTCATTTCATCTACACAAAGACAAATTCAATTTAATCCAAAGGTCCATAAAACCTTTTTTTTCCCTTTCATTTACATATTTTATTCTGATATCAGAGTCAAAATGGCTGACAGTGTAAGCTATAAACTACTTCTCTCAGCAAATTCAGAACTGTTTGAAAGAATACCTACCCTTCACACCACGTGAAGGTCACACATTGCACCGAGTAATATATTATTTACACTGAATCCTCCAGTGTACTTGAGCCCAGGTCACCTCATCTGTACACACACACACACACACCCCTCCTGAGCCTCTGTACTGAGGTGAGATCCATGAAGAGACACTCTTCCCAGCATGGGAAAATAACACCATAAAAAAGTGGGAAATAAGGAAGGCCATATGCTCTTATGTTTTTCCCTGAAAAGTGTGTCTTGCTATAGTTAAAGGATTGGTTCACTTCAGAATAAAAAAAAATCCTGATAATTTACTCACCCCCACATCATCCAAGATATTCATGTCTTTCTTTCTTCAGTCAAAAAGGTTTTTGAGGAAAACATTCCAGGATTTTTCGCCATATAGTGACTTCAATGGTTACCAACGGGTTGAAGGTCCAAATGTCAGTTTCAGTGCAGCTTCAAAGATCTCTACACGATCCCAGCCGAGGAATAAGAGTCTCATCTAGCCAAACCATCGGTCATTTTCGAAAAAAACAACAACATTTATATACTTTTTAACCACAAATGCTCGTCTTGCACGTCCACGACTTCACACATTACGTAATCACGTTGGAAAGGTCCGGTAACCTGAATTAGGCGGGAAATGTAGGATAGGGTGAAAAACTCCATCTCATTAACTCCTAAATTTAAAATCGTCCGACAACGTTGTTTTACCTTTTCGTGTGACTTTAATGCCTGTATGCACAAAAAACGTGAATAGGCCTCTCTTACAGAAGTGAAATTTATAAATCTCAAATGTGCGCAGCTAAATGGTTTCAGACCTCCGCTTTGTAAACGGCACCTTTTTAAAGTCATTAACATATAAATCAGCACCAGTCAACGTCCAAATCCTTTACTTGAGAATGGTGAGCAGCAAGAATGGCTTATATTTCCAAATACCTGGAGTAGTCCGACTCTCTGCCACAAGGAAAAGTGTGAACGTCTGCTTAGACCCTGATGTGGCGCTAAGCACTTTTCCACGTCAAAGACTGTTTTTATAAACAGGAACCATGGCGTGGATTTTAGCGTACACACACACTTAAAGATCAAATCTGTGTGTCCGCATGTTTTATAAATGAGGCCCATGATGCAGAATTGGAAAAAGATTGTTGCTGGAGGTTGTGTACTACTGTATGTTCCAGACATGATAAAGCCTCAAATATCGGACTCCAACTCCCAAAAGCAGAAGATAAGCAATGTTACCCTAAGTGAACTCAACAGGTAGGTCACAGGTCTCTTCTGATAAAGTCTGATCAAAAAATTGAATGAATCAGGAGTGCCTGTAATACTTCATCTTAAGGTACATACAGATGTTCTTTTCTTGTCTATTCTCTTTTTTTACAAGAATAAAATGGGACAGTGTTACAACAATCATCTCTGTTCTCGGTTTCACAAACTCTCTTCAGAGTGCTTGCCACTGGCTAAAGAGTGCAGTACCTGGGGAATATACCACAGATCGGAGAAAGGGGTACATCAAATCGCCAATACAAAATAACATAAAATATATTTCTAACCAAATACATTCAATTTAAAGCAGTAGTGCAATTATAGTATTCTGTAAGCGCCAAGATTGGGATACTGTGTGAAATAGATCATCCCTTCCTCGATCTCTCTTGTTACGATTCTATTTTTAGATCGCAACAAAGGGAGACGCCACACAACCACTGCATAAACAATACGATTTATTTAACTATAAATCGTATGAAATGTCAAGTGATCAGCGTAATTTTTAGCCAGAGTGTCAGCATGTGAGTGTAAGTAGTAAGTTTAAGTGACAGTCCAACCAAACATAAACAACGTCCAAATCTCCAAAAGGTCCAAGTCCAAAATGGATCAAGTGTGGCTGTGGTCTCCCGTAACACATCCCGTCAGTTTTCCAGTAGCATCATGAGCAGCAACAACACCCGCAAGCAACAGTTCTCTCTTACTCTGTTTAACCCAGTGTCTTTAAAGTGCCATGATTTCATTCAGGTGTAAAGCCATGCCCTCCAGCAATCACCTGTAACTCGGGGACAAACACACAAATACTCACTGAGCCGTCACACAACCCCCCTTAAAAGATCCTATATCTCATAAGGATCCTCAAACAATATCAAAAGTGACATTTTAAAATCATACTTTCCTCTTTTCTAATTTTGTTCTTCTTATATAAGATCCGATTCCAGTATAACAGGTGTTTTCCATGGTCATCTCCATTCTCCTAGACTGCTCAATTTATCCCCAGCAATCTGGATCCTGAAAGCAAATTAAGGCAACAAAGAGAGCACGGAAAAACTGAAAAAATTGCCCAAACACTTACAGTACACTATTCGGTCTGGTCAGGAACACGAGATAAAGCATCAGCCACTACGTTATCAGTTCCCTTGATGTAGTTCACAGTTAAACTGTAAGGCTGTAAAAAGAGAATCCAACGCATTAACCGCCGACTCGGGGACTGTAACGAGTGTAAAAGCGTCAGAGGGTTATGATCAGAATAAACCTCCGCAGGTAATCCTCCCCCCAAGTACACATCAAAGTGCTGAAGATAATGCTTCTTTCTCTATTACAGAATAGTTCTTTTGATAAGAATTAAACTTACGAGAAAAGAAACTTACAGGATGGTCAAGTCCAGTCTCACCAGTTTGTAATAGAACAGCCCCAGCACCAATCTGGCTTGCATCTACCTGTATTTTAAATAGCTTATCCAGCCTAGGGGCAGCTACACCAGGAGCACTTAGTTAACAACAGTTTAACATTTTTAAAAGCTTTCTGACAATTTACACTCCAAACAAAATTGACAGCCTTCTTAAGCAGATCAGTAAGTGGAGAAACAACAGTTGAAAGGTTTGGGCAAAAACCCATATAATACCCCACCATACCGAGTTCTTTCTTTGTTGATGGAGGAGGAAATTGTTGAATAGCCACAATTTTGGCTTGAATAGGACAAACCTCAACTTGTCCAACTTCTTTACCCAAATATCTTACAGTACCCTTGGCAAACTCACACTTTGCCAAGTTAACTGCAAGACATGCCTCAGCCCAACGCATCAAAAGCGCACTAAGATGTACCAGATGTTGTATCACTGAACACAATAACATCATCTAAATACACACAACCATCCAGGCCGAATACCACTTAATTCATCAATCTCTGGAAGGTTGCGGGTGCATTTCCCAAAACCGAAACTCATAACAGAGTACAAATAAAACCCTGATGGTGTAGTGAAAGTTATTTCTTGAGCTCTAGGAGTTAAAGGCACTTGCCAGTATCCCTTTAAAAGGTCCAGGTTGCTTACAAAGTTCGCAGTACCCACCTGATCCACACAATCCTCCATTCGAGGAAGTGGAAAGGCGTCGGGTTTAGTAATAGCGTTTAACTTGTGGTAATCAGTGCAAAATCTATAAGTAGAATTTGGCTTCTTTATCGGCAAACATGGTGAAGCCCCACTGGAGCACAAAGGAACAGCGATCTCGTTCTCAAGCTGAACTTCCAGCTCATTCCGCTCACTGATAGGAACCCTGTAAAAACGCTGACGAATAGGCCGCGCATCTCCCACATCCACATCATGCTGGATCAGATGCGTACGGGTGGGCACATCTGCAAACAAACTAGGAAAGTCAAACACCAACTCTGTCAATTCTGACCTTTGTAACTCCGACAAATGGGAAAACAAAACATCTAGATTCTGAAGGGTCTCTGAATTCTTTAACAGTGGAAGCAAAACACAGTCTTCAGGGACAATCACATCCTCCCCTCCTTCTACAGAAAAAGGTTAAGAATTATCAAGAGAGACAATAGCAACAGTGACAGCTGGATTAACTAGTTGAGTGTCAGAATTACGAGGATGATAAGGCTTAAAGGGGTCATATAATGGTACATGCACTTTTACAAGTTGATTGTACTGAAATGTGTGTTGGCAGTGCCTGTACACAACCATCGTAAAATGATAAAAATCCATCCAGTGTTTTTGTTTTAATCTCCTTATATGTTTTCCGTCTCAAATCAAGCCGTTCGACCGTGTGACGTCACACGGTCGGACGCCACACGGTCGGACGCCCCTCCCACGATTGTTGATTGACAGCAGCGTTTCAACACAGACCCGCCCTCGCTCGTGAGCCAGCTGTCAATCATAGTCTGCGCGGACCGGCGCGGTCATTGTTGATATGCTGGAGCACTGTCTATTAGGGGTGGAACGGTACACAGAAGTCACGGTTCGGTTCATACCTCGGTTCAGACATCACGGTTCGGTACGATTTCGGTACAATGTAGGGAAAAGCAAAACAAAAATGCAGAAGGCATTGTATTTTTTAAATAA